GTAGTCATCATTTCTATCATTTACCACCACTGTAATTGCAGTGATTTGGGGAAAAAGTTACTTCACTAAAAATAAATCAGCGGCCAGAAACACAAGTGGTCAAGTGATCAGACAGATTTTTCAGAAACCTCTGATGTATCCGACATTTCACAAAAGCGATCATTATAGACGTCTCATGTCAGTTAAAATCTTTATCGCCTTTAACAATCACATCCTAGTTCTTGTTGTACAGTAATGGATGCATTATGAAATTGGCAGTTTTTACTAATAAAATGTAGAACTGAGCTTAAAGAGAATTTGAGACTTTTAATTAAAATGATCCCCTTGTATTCTGTTCTGTGTTAAGCCATTGTATCATGTGACAGAGACTGATCTTGCTGAGCACTAATGAACCAAACTATTTAGACAAATACTGTCCCTTTTCACAATGTCTTAATCACAAGCATTTTGTGAATAGGTCATGAAACCAGAACTTACAGTATTGTTGACAAAGTTGCCCTTGTATCTGAAGTTTGTGTGGATGTATTCTCCAGCTGACTCCATCTCGCCATTAATCCACGTGCCCTTGTATTTTGATCCGGTTTCGTGGTAGTGGTAAACNATCACAAATGTTAAATTAGCCCTTTGATTCTGCTCAAATGAGCTGATGTTGTTCTGCACGGTGCCACAGGGGGGCGATGTCTGCTTTACACCACCTTACATCCAAACAACATGCAACACATCCAGTTGCTACGGCCACACATATCTACAAAAGACAACACACACAGAAGTTTATCAGACTGCGTTTACATATTTATTGATATATTCATGTTGTCTTGCCCTTGAAACAAAAGTTGAACGATGCAGGACTGTGTGCTGATCACATCATTAGTTCTCGGAGCTCTCCTCTGCTGGAGCTGTTTCCTTTTCTCCAGCTAACAAAGGAAAAGACAAAAGCTTACTTGAGTGCAGATTCTTTTTCTTTCTTTTCTTACTTGAGGGACTCTTTGAATTTGAAGCACTGGATGCAGGATGTCATAACAAACTACAGTCACAAATGGTTTTGCCTCAAAAATGGCAACAATAACAAACCCTGGACCTCAGTGGAGTTTTACATTTACTGTAGGACATTTGTACTGTGTTGTATTGGACAGTATTTCTCTTATTTTGTCCATCTAATGCTTAGTACAGTGCTACAAGGATACAGTTCCCTTTCCTCAGCTGGTGCAGAGGATTTGAAAGGCACCTTTGGGCATTTTGACTATAAAAATTTTAAAAAGTCAATAATTCGTATTTGATAAATTTCCAAATTGTGTGAATTGTTTTGTAGCATTTGAAGGACCAGAAACATAGACATATACTACACTTAATATAACACATTAGGAATTTTAAATGCTGATTATGATGTTCTTTTTGTCCTAGTATTATAAAATTTGCAAGCAAATACCTAAAAAATGAATTCAATCTACAGCTGTGCAGTGAAGGCATTTAGGTCACAACGTAAAAGGACATACAGGTTACAGAGAAAATAATAACAAATTTAAATGAATAAATAAAATGTGATATTTGCAATACTGGGCTGCAAGGTGGCTCGGTGGTTAGCACCGTCGCCTTGCAGCTAGAAGGTCGATGGTTCAAATCCCCGGTGAGGACACCGGGATCTTTCTGCGTGGAGTTTGCATGTTCTCTCAGGGTTCTCCGGCTTCCGGTTCTCCCACAATCCAAAAACATGTTGAGGTTAATTGGTGATTCTAAATTGTCCGTAGGCGTGAATGTGAGTGTGCTTGGTTGTCAGGCTTTAAGTGTAGCCCTGTGATAGACTGGTGACCTGTCCAGGGTGTCCCCTGCCTTCACCCTGAGTCAGCTGGGATAGACTCCAGCCCCCCGCGACCCTAGTGAGGACTAAGCGGTGTATAGGATGGATGGATTTGCGATTTCAAAACGTATACACAGTTTGGTTGGTGGTTAGACAAAGGGTTCTTGGGGAGGTGAGGTTCTGCTGTGACACAGTATTTCTAAAATCCTGACCCTGCACCTGACTGCCAGAGTTCACCTGAAGTCTCTTTGCCAGGAGTCCACAGCGTCAAATTGGTGATGCATTTGGGAATCCACTTGATGACAGGAGCAGAGGCCAGCTCACCCTCAGGTTGGTCCTGCAAAGAATGGAGGGAGGCTGAGATGATCCTTATAGATTTCACTGCAACACATTTTGGATTGTACTGCAAGAAGAATGCAGACATATTTCTGTCTTGATGTTTTCTCAAATATAGCAGGCATCACAGCATAACTGTTTGTGGAGCAAGCCAAGTGTGAAAACATCTCCAAACTCACCGCAGCTTCCATCATCCTCATCATATAGTCACCCACATCATGCATATAGTCAAACATGCATAGCCAAGTGTGTTTGTTGGGGGAAAAAAAACACTTCCAGTAATAACAATATGAATGCATTCTTGTGCACAAAATGACATTCCCATGTTTAAAAATACCCCGAGACCTTGCAACACACTGGCGCTCTATGCTACTAGTAAAAGGCACAGCATCAGCAGTCGTATAGAAGCAGCGGCAGCACCTCCTCAGCTCCTCCTGAGGCCCCTAAAGTGAGATAACCCTCCCTGGAGCCCGGGTAGGGAGACTTCTGAACTTTTCTATTTTCACCGTTGTGCTCAGCGTCCACTGCCTGGAGGTTTAGAGTTGTCACAGTTATGCTGTGTTGCAGTGTCTGTGCCATATCATGAGTGCATTCATTCAGTGGGACCTGACAAAGCCCACATTTTTCCACACCACCTGCTGCCACCGAGACGATAGTAAATGCTCTGTTTCCCTTTAAAACAAATGAATTACCTGCTCTGTTTGGTGGTATTCTCCATGCAGCTCACAGCCACTGTCGAACACATACTTCCCTGGTCCACATGGCTGCAAAATATGATTGAATTTATTGA